AGGACTCCCCAATCTTGATGATGAGCAGCTTCCTGCTCCGGTGCTGGTTGGGAATGAAAGGGGTAGGAGCAGAGTCCGCCAGTTGGCCGGCAGCAGAGGGGCCCAGAATCTGTGGAAGTGCACTGAGTGCGGCTTCAAAACGGGCAAGGGTGCGGGTTGGTCAAGGCGAAAGCATGCGCACATTAAGACCTTCCACCCCGAGTTGGCTGGGCAACTGCGAGAGCGCAAGGTTCGAGCTTTGTTGGTCCCCTGGAGTTCAAGCTGCATCTGGAAGTGCCCCATTCCTGGATGCGGCCTGGGCATGGCGACGCGGGAGTCGCGTTACCAGCTCCGCCACATGGTGCGCATGCGCCACCATCGCGAGGCCCACCCCACGGCCGACCCCAAGCTCTTCCATGTCAAGGAAAACAGCAAGGGAAATGCGACCAAGGCGACAATCGCCAAGCGCAACAAGGGGGTTGCTGACCGCCTTGCGCAACTTGGCATCGCCAAGGAAGCTGGACACGACCCTTTGTGGTTGTCGTTTCCCCCGCCTCCGGGCCAGGGGGTCCGAAAGAAAGTCGAAAGGCTGATACGCCGCATATACTGCACCCAGTGCCGCCAGCTCGATGTGGCCGCCAAGGCCTTGGCCAAGCGGGACTGTGTCATTTCTGCGGCCGGTGGTCGGCGCACAATGCTGCTCAAGCGGTTGGAGAGTGCCCTCAAAGACGAGCTCGAGGATGAGGTTCGAGCGGCCACGGAGCACGCCTTGCAGGTGCTCCGGGCAGCCCAGGATGCCGTCCAGCAGGACCGCAAAAGGGCCAATAAGGAGCATGACCTGATTGCCGTGGTCTGGCCCGAGGACCTCTCTGTGAAGTTCATTTGCGAGGAGTGCAAGGGCATGTGGAGCCAGGGGCAGCAGCTCAAGAGCGCGTGCTCCGGGGTCACGGTGAGGCGCCCCAAGAAGCAGATCGCCATGCTGCGGTCCTTCCTCGACACGGAGGGTGTCAAGGCAAAGGCTGCCCGCACCGCCTTGACGGCGCTTGGGGTGCCAGCCCAGATGAGCGAGGTGAAGTGGTCGGAGGAGCGCCAGTCCCTGGCGCGTGGGTTGGGGGCCAAGGTGGCGCCATGATGGCGTCCACTTTGAGAATCGGGACGGTGAACGTCCGCACCCTCAGCGGACGTGCCCAAGCGGTGGCAGACCTGGCGGTCCGGGAAGGCGTGCAGGTGCTTTGCATGCAGGAGGTCAGGATCACGCAGGAGGGCGTCAAAGCAACCAGGTCAGCTCTCCATGCACTTGGATGGGATCTGTTGGTGGGCCCCCAGGGGTGGGACAATCAGGGTCACCCGCGTGGTGGCGTGGCCTTTGTGACCACGTGGCCCGTAGAAATGCTGGCGTTGCCGGAAGAGCTCCAGTTCGAGCATAGGGCTATGGCGGCCAAGGTCTCTCGTCCGGGCGCCCGGCCTCTTCTTCTGCTGAACTTGTACCTTCCTGCCAACGATGACGCGCTGGGCCATGTCATGATCGACCGGCTTTTCGAATGGGCTGCTGGCTCTGGTGAGGACTTCATCTTGGTCGGGGACTGGAACCGGTTGGAGGAGAGCTTCCCCTTGGGTGGTCTTTTGTCTACGGGCCGGATTCGATCCATGGACCCGGCCTATGTGAAACCAGGCGGAACCCACCGTGACCCGAAAGGCAAGCTCACGGGGCGGTGCATCGACTTCGGCCTCTCTTCTTCAAGGGTTGCCGTCAAAGACAGGACTCAGTGTGTTGCCGTGGCTGACCATGATCTGGTCACCTATGGGTTGGAGGTTGGGAACCTCACCCGTCCCCTTCGATGGCAGCCCACCAGGGCGCTCCGATGTGAAGAGCCTGCTCAGTGGGATGATGTGTGGGACCTATACCGTCAGTCTTTTTCGGAAGCGGTGCAGGTCCTGGACACCAGTGAGGCGTGGAGGCTGCTCTCCGAAGCAGCAGAAACGGCCCTGGCTTGCTCCCCGAACGACAGAGCCCCTCCTCGTGGTGTACCTGGGCGACCTCGGGCTCCCGAACACCACAAGCAGAACCTGAAGCACTTCCAGACACTGCTTGAGCGCCGCCTGCGGAGGGCTGCGCGAAGGGCGGCCGAGCTGGGGCGCCGCCCTGGGGACCCCGGGCTGGCCGACAACTTGAGTCGTGACTTGCGAGAGCTGGCTGGCCGTCTCGATGACCCTGAGTTGATGGGTATGCCACCTGAACAGATGGGCCATCGCCTTCTGGAGTATGCGGACGCTGAGGCGCAGCGCGCCAAGAAGGCGCGCGTCGCCCAATGGAAGGACTCCATCCAGACGGACCTCCCTCGCCTGGCCCGATGGGTTGCTGCCAAGTCGGACCAAGTCATCAGTGACTTCGCCACTTTCGATGCTGATCCGGATCCTCAGGCCAAGGCCGAGCGCGCTGCTGCTGAACTCAGCTCTTTGTGGAGCCCGGCTGACCGCCCTGATCCGGCGCAGCTGTCTGCCGCCCTTGCGACCGAAGCCGTGCAGAGGCCTTTTGCAGGGGACCTTCGGGTCGAGGGACCTGCTCTTTTTCGACGGGCACGGGCTGCCGCCAAGAAAGCTGGCGGTCTTGACGGCTGGACTGGCAGTCTGTTGCGACACCTCCCCTTGGAGTTCTTCCAGGCGATGGCGGACATTTGGAACGCAATCCTGCAGGGGGCCTCAATTCCCCGCGTCTGGAAGCAGATCAAGGTTGTTCTGCTTCCCAAGCCGGATGGAGGCAATCGGCCCCTGGCCATCGCCTCCTTCGCCTGGCGCTTGGGGGCATCCGAAGTCCTGGCTGGCCTGGCAGATTGGACGGAGTCCTGGCTCCCTCTGCAGCTTTACGGTGGCGTCCCCAACAGGTCAGCCGACCAGCTTCATGCGCGTCTTCATGCCGCCGTTCACCAACGGAGTGCTCAACGCCCGGTGGCCGGCTGCAAGGCGGATGTTCGGAAGTGTTTTGACCGTGTACACCCGGAAATCGCTCTCCGGGCCATGGAGTGGTGGGGCGCACCTTCGGCAACCACGAACTTTCTTCGGGACTTCTACTCCGGCCAGGAGCGGTTCGTGTGCGTCCAGGAGCATTTCGCGGCCTTTCCTACTTCCGGGAGCTGCTCCTTGTTGCAGGGTTGTCCTTTCTCTCCCTTCCTCCTCAACTGCCTCATGGCGTACTGGAGTCGGGTGGTTGAACGCGAGGTGCCCGGCCTGTCCTTCGGCGTCTTCCTTGACGACAGAACCCTTTGGGCATGTGACCGAGATCCGATCCCTCTACTCAGTCGGGGTGTCGAGGTGGGCGCCCGCATTGACCGGCTTTGCGGCTTTGAGCTCCACCCCAACAAGCTGGAGTCATTTGGGACCTCCGACAGCGTCCGTGAAGGACTGATGGAACTTGCGGACACTGTGGGCATCCCGCAGGTGGACTTCAAGCTGCTCGGGGTGCGCTATCGCACCCAGGGGCAGGCGGTGTACGCGGCGGAGGACATCACCTCCGATTTGAAGGAGCGGGGCCGGCGCATTCGCATGGTCGCCCTGTCCAGCAAGCTCCGTGCTCGGTTGGTCGCGATCCTGATGATCTCTAAGTTCAGATTTTGCGCCCCTTGGGTGCGATTCCTGGCTGCGACCATCGACGGCTGGACTTCTCAGGTGGAGATGACTATTTGGGGCAGAAAGACGCCTAGTGGGAGATCGGCGTGCCTATTTTGGAACGTCGTGGCCGGCCTGGAGCAGCATCCACGTTTTGCTCTCCACAGCGCTGCTTTGACCCACGAATGGCGGCGTCTTGGCAGTGGAGCCGGCGGGACCCCTGGTCCCCGTGTTGGAGCCGCTTTGCAAGCCCTTGGATGGCAGCTGGAGGGCAACTCCTGGGCTACCTCCTCTGGAGCGTTTTCTACGGGCCACATTTCTGAACGTGGATTTCGTGGTGAGCTGCGGCGGGCTTGGCGGGACCATTTGTGGGCCGTGGACACCAAGACCGGCGGCCCGATCTCAGCGGGTTCGTTCCCGGTCTGGTCAGAACTGGGGCGACACACCGAGGCTGGCACCTTTGCATCCCTTCGTGTTGCATGCGGAGCCGCTCAGGATGGCCGAGACCTTCAACGGCTTGGAGGTTCTCTCCCTTGCAGATGTGGCGTTTTGACTCCGTCCCGCCATCATCTGACCTTCGACTGCATCGCCGATGCCTGGACGTTGGACAGGCGTACAGAGGTAGAGAGGCGCATGCTCACACCTTTGGTTCACCCCGACCAAGCGCCTCCGAGCGTCTCGGCCAATGAGGACCTTGCCATTTCGGCTGTCGTGCAAGCTCTCATGGCTTGCCCTGACGACGAGATCCCGATCTTGGCATTGGACGGTGGGGCCATCTCCGGTTTCCACGGGGCTGAGTGGCAACGTGCCTCATGGGCCGTTGCGGGCCCGGGGGGTCTTCTGGCGTCTGGCGAGGTCCCCACTTTCGAGCAGTCTGCTGCCGCTGGTGAACGCTGGGCCCTACGCATTGCCGCCCTCGCGGTTGCGAGGGTTGGCCGAGAGGTGCGGGTACTCCAGGACAACTTGGCTTTGGTGGTCAAGCTGAGTCGCTGGAAAGCCAGCCGGGTGCTGCGACACCGTGAGTTGTGGACTTTTTGGGATGACATCGCTACAGCGATTCCTTGGCTTCTTGCTTATTGGGTTCCTTCTCATGGCAAGAAGCAGAAATGGTGTCCCCCGGTCGATTGGCCGGATGCTTCGATATGCCGTCAAATGAACGATTGGGCGGACAAGGGGGCTTCCGCTGTTCTGGATCACTATCGTATTTGGATCAGCAGCTTGAGGGGGCGTGTTGATGCTGCCAACCAATGGGCGGCTGATGTGGTGAGAAAGCAAGCTAGGGTCACAGAACCTTTCCAGAAGGCCATTCGCGAGCGGATGTCTGACCGCAGACACAGCTTGTGAGGACGCGCTTGTGAGGACGCTGACTTGGTTCACGTGTTTTCTTTTCATGGTGGCGGGCGGCTACCCCGTGTCAGGGTGCCGTCCTGATCAACTACAACAACAACACTGGCCTCGACATTTGGGATGCCTGGACATTCTTCAAACTCCTGGATGCCGATGGCGGCGGTGAGGCGAATCTGGGCCCTGGAAAAGTTGTCGGATGACAGGATGACAGGAATCGACTTGAAAATAGAGGGGGCCCGGAGGATTTTAATTGGTCGTTGGATTGATTGAAACGGGTGGTTTCTTGTTCGTTTCCTTTGGTGAAGGGGGAAGCACCGAATTTAGTATCAAGCCATATATGTCACGATTGAAACTTTTCTCTCAGCGCGGAACCCTCCCCCCACATGCCTGTTTGGTGCCTTGGCGCAGGGGCCAAGCGTTGCAACCCCGCAACGTGGAAATGTAAACATTCGAGCCGCAACACGCCCATTCACGGATGCCCGGGTCAATATTTACGGCCATCTTCCTTGGAGGCGATTCACCCAAAATTGTTTGAGTGGCGGTTATTCACCAATCTTCCATGTCAGGGACACAAAATTGTGTCGACCGTGGTTCGTGATATTAGGGAAGCTTGGGGCAACATTTACAGTATCTAGCATCGGACTTTGGGGTGGGGAAGAAGGTGGGGTTCATGTTTTCGTCCCTGATTTCCTGCGTCTGCCGTTTAAAAAATCCACCCCACAAAAGGGTACTGAGCCTCAACAAAGCCGCCCAACGCAAAAACCCGGGGGCTGGGGGGGGGGCAGCAACATGAACGTAGGGCAGAATTTGCCAGGTGGAGGTGGAGGAGTTTCTCATGGGTTGCCTCAGGCTGCGAGGCCCGGCCACTGCCATCGACATGGGCTGCTTGGATCTCACTTCCGAGCTCGCGGGGAGGGAAGGCAAGAACTGCGTCAAGCGAGAAACAAAATACCCTATGCACCGGGTTGCAAAATAATGACCAAACCAAGGGGAGACAATTTGTGTGGGGCAATTCCTGGCCTTGTGCCAGGGTCTATCAGAGTCTTTGGAGTTGCTGTCCTAGCTGCGTCCGCTTATTCGCAGAAAGTTCACGAGGCAAAGTGATCAAGGACCAGAACTGGCTGATCTCAACGCAAGGCCGGCCGGGGCAGCCGGTGCCGGGCGGGGGAGGTGGTCAGGGGGACTTTGGGTTGGCATTCTGCCCACAAAGATTGGTGTGTGTCTCGTTGTCGTCCTGACTAGGGTGGCGGAGGGGGGAGACAGCCCCTCGATGATGAACCCGCTCGGGTTTGTCGGGAGTCTCAGAGCAGCAGTTGCTTTTGCATTCTATGCTGGTTTGTGTGGATTGTTTTGTTTGTTTTGTGGTTGGGAAGTTTACTCCTCTTCTGGCAAAGCTGTTTGTGGACAGTGCCGTCTCCGAGGGGTGCAAGCAGACGCAGCAACAGATTTGGCCTTGGGCCTACCTGCAGTGTGGCCTCTCTCGCGCTGCCAGAAAGTTACTCAGCGGAAACGACAGGAAGCGAAGCTGACTGACTTGATTGCCGTGGCAATCCGGCGGTTGAGGCGAACGTGCCCACTTGTCAGCCTCAAAAGCGTCCTTGGCGGACGGACTCCTTGCATCCGGTTTCACAAGCGTCTGGTCGTTGCGACGAGGGAGCCAACAGTGAAATGATGTGGGGAGCCTTTACCAACAACCCTTTCAACACGTTGAGGACGCCGCTGAGGCGTGACAACTTCCCACCGAAATGTCGAAATCTTCGCTTTCCCGAATAGACCTGCAGCTGGAGCGGACTGCGCGCAAGACGCCACCAAGGACTCTGCAGGTTGGTCGACTGCTTGAGCCGTGTTGGGCTGGAGCTTGCTGACCGCTTCGATGAGTTGGATTTACGCGCTGGCGGACATCTGGAATGGCGCACAGATCAAGGTTTTGCTCCTACCCTTGAGACGGACAGCGGCCATCGTCCCCTAGCCGTTGCGTCTTTCCCTTGGCACCTGGGCGCGTCAGAGATCCTATGTTGCCGGTTGCCCGCGGCCGTGGCTTCCTCATCAGTTTTACGGTGGAGTTCCTCGCGATGTTTAGCGGCTGAGGTGGTGGGCGGATGGTGGCGGCGGCGGCGGGTGGTCGCGCACCGCCGCCGCCCGCCCGCCGTAGCCACCAGCAGCAGCAGCAGCAGCAGCAGCAGCACCACCACCACCACCACCACAACCACGACCACCAGCACCACCAGCACCACCACCGCCACCACCGCCACCACCGCCACCACCGCCACCACCGCCACCACCGCCACCACCAATCCACAACCATCCACCACCGCCGCGCCGCCGCCGCCCCCAACACCACCACCACCACCATCATCATTATCATCATCATCATCATCATCATCATCATCAACATCAACATCAGCATCATCATCATCATCATCATCATCATCATCATCATCATCATCATCATCATCATCATCATCATCATCATCATCATCATCATCGCCATCGCCATCGCCATCGCCATCGCCATCGTCATCAAAATCACCCTTGGCAGCACGTGGAACTGACTGAAAGGGACAGCCCGTCCGCTCGACCTGTCCTATTCAAAGGGAGCTTTTAATCTTAAGGGCGCCTTTTTGGTGGTCCCCTATTTGAGCGCAAACCCATTAAACAATTGTTCATGGCTACTGGCTACTGTGACATGGAGTGAGGTCGCTTACTGGCATTGACATCTGACAGTCTGAGGAGTCGGTCAAAGGGACCACCCATGAAGGCCATTTAGTTTTTCAGATTAAATTGCTAGTCACCCAGAGCGTTCATCCATGCCCAAAGTATTCCAACACCTGCGCTGTGCTCATTTTACCGGAGCGTCCCAGCCTCTTGCGAAATAATAAGCGGGCCCCTTTTCAACCAGCTTTCTACTTCCCAACTTCGCACACCTTAGGGTGGCTTGTTTTGGTGTGCGACAGGAACTGTATCCAAACGTTGCCCGTCCCATAACGAGTACCCTCAACAACACCCACCCCCTGTCTCGGGCCAGGAAAGTTCGCAGCCCACGTGGAGGGCGAACTTCGACAGATGAAGGAATTGTGCCCTGGATGAATTGGGGCCGTGGTGGACTCGTGACTTGCAAGCTGAGCTTCGACTTGGGTTTTCCGATCATCTTTGCCTGTGTTTGATCCGAAAGATTAGGTTTCCCCTCCAGGTACTTTTGGGCAAGCGACCAAAATGCGATTTGTCAGCGTTTGACCCGATGAATGTGGCTTGCTTGAGTTGCATGTGTTTGTTTGTTCAATCCTGATGTGTGCGTGTGCGATTGCACTTGTATTTGTATCTGTTTATCCCTAGGGCTTCGCCAACACCAGCTGCGTTGGTTGCCTGGTTACCGCCTTGCCCCCTGCCCAGCGCGGGCGGGCGCGCGAGGCGCGCGCGCGAACAGTCAATCAGACGAAGACCGCAGCCTCACCAAAACCTGTGCAAAATGACCACGCAGCACGGTATTTGCGATGTCTACGTGGGGCGATATTGGTGGCGACGCCGGGAAAGCGCGGAACCCCGCTGGCTTGCGATGGCAGGATGCCCGAGATGCTGGGGATGCCGGCAGCCCGGATACTGCTGATGGGATGCTGGGGAAATTGGCGAGGATGTCGGGGATGCTGGCCGCTGTCGGGACGGCTTTTTTTCAAGGTGGGGCCAAACAAAACATGATGTCAGGAGCTTGTGGCAAGGCCGGGAATGTCGAGGATGTTTTGGGGTCCAGCTGTCTGGGCTGGCTTGCGTCCGGATGCACGTTTGCTTGTGTTGCTTTTGTTGCATGTGTATTATTTTGTTTAACCACGGTTCCGTTGTCATGGCATTCTAGCTCAAGACAATCTGAACAACACGCATTCTTTGCTAGGTTCTGCCGAGTCAATGTGTCAGCGGTTGCTTCACCTAGTGGTTACAGCGCAAAGGGCAGTGCCCAGGCACGTAGACGGGGCAGTTTGCTTTATACAAGAGAGACTACTATTTCTCAACATGGTGGACCCTCCCCTTTGGTAGGGAAACCATTGCCATTTTAGGGGGCCACTTCGAGAACCCCCCCCCCCCCACCAAAAAACAAGGCATGCTGAAGAAAGCCATCGGGTTCTGGCGCTCTGGCATACTTCCCATAAGTGTGATAATTCATGTAGCCTCTCTCGCATGAATGCTCCCAGCACAGGGAAGCAATCGTGTTGAGTTTACTGTAGAGCCTTTGCCATTTCCTCAGGTTTGCTTGCACACAAGTGTCTACTCAATATGGTTTCATTGCAAATCCGTTCTATGATGCCTACAAAGCACATTGGTATACTTATGTATTGTTATATCTACGTGTGTATATATATATATTATTGTGCATACATATATATATATACACCTGATGGTTGCATCTTGAAGCTTTGCGGGTGCTCCCGCTGGCCTTGTCAAAAGTTGTGCACGCTTGCATTGTCTGATTGAGGCTGAGCAGGATGGCAAGATGATCGCAGTGTGCGCAAGGTTTGCAGCCATCAGACATGGACAAATCACATTTTTTCAAGGACAACCCAGCGCAGTCAGCGAAGCTGATGGCAGCTGATGCTGGAGAGGCAGGCTGCATCCGTACGGACGTTCAGTGCAGTCTACTGGCAATCTCCAGGGTTGTTGTTCTGAAACGAATACAAATAGGGGAACCCAAGAGGGTCCCCCAAGAAAGGTGACCTCGTCATGCACACCCTGCCACCCTGGTTTCAGGTTTCAGACTTGGACTTCTCAAACAGCACCCACGCGGTACCAGTACTTTGCAATTGTACTGCATGCCTTAGTGATGCCCGACTATTCGACATGCACGAGGTTCCTAAGCGAAACCTGGACCCAGAGTTCTGATGGGCGCATGTGGAAAAGGGGACCATGGGGACCCTTTCGGTACCAACATGTTCGGCTTGGGGATTCGTGGTGTGTTTCCTCAGGATGGTGTGGGGACTCCGGTTGGAGCCAGCTCGGTTCGCGAGAGCAATTGAGCTCTGTCTTTCATTTGAAAGTTAGCACCTGGAGTCTTTTTTGGACCAGAAATTGGGGTCACCAAAAATCAAGAGGTTTTTGCCCTACCTTTTTACAAGGTCATGGAGACTTCAGGCATGGATGCTTGAAGCATCCGATTCAGATTGGAATCCAAGCAGCCTCAAGTCTGTTCAAGGTTTGGAAGCTTGGGATTCTCGCTTTGGAAGGACGGTACCCTATGCCTTGGGCGTCTCGATGCGTCTCGGTTCCTGGGTCAACTGCCTGCCACCTTTCACGGGCTCCGCGTTTCCGCCCCGAAATTCGCTGGGCGCGGCATGAAGGGCCCTTCAGTGGATCTGCCCACGTCTGTCGGAGAAGAAAAGACACGCCGAATTCGACATCCGGAAGGCGGCACGTGCATCATCTCATCTCAAACCTTTTTCTTTTTCAAACTTCGGTTCCCATGTTTGGTGGCTCCAAAACATTATCACCTTTTTTTCTGGGTTCTTGCGGCTGAGCCCTCTTTGCAAACGTGGGGACTTGGTTGGGCCCGGGACTGTTGGCGCCAGCTCACCTCAACCGAGTTCAACCATTCGCTTTGCCAATCATTCGCTGCGATTCGAGCAGACACGTGAAAGCAACCCAAAACTTATAGCCTACCTTTGGTGCATTTTGCTTGGATGTTAGGACTTTAACATTTTGCCAATTAACGGGTTTTCCATTAAACCACTAAAAGTTAAGCTTTTAGCAGGGGAGCAGAAAGCAACCAAGCAAATAACCTACCATTTGCTCAAGCATATGGTGGATTTGTCTGTTTTGGTGTTGAAGGAATCTATCACTGGCCATAATTGTTCCATGGGAAGCGTGTACCTGGAGTCTCCATGACCCTTTAAAAATGGTTGGTCACTACCCCAAAAGGGGTCATGGACCCATTTTTATTTCGGGTCAGAAGGAGACAGGTATTTGCAGATAGCAACGAAACACAGATCGCTCGAGATCGCTCGAGAGCCGCAGCTTTGAGCCGCGTTCTGCTCTCCGAAGAGCAAATGGGATTTCGTTTTAACGACATCGAGTCTGTTCATTCACTACGGTAGAAACCCCAAAACCACCGTCTAAAAACTACCGGGAAGACACATACACCGGCAACGGGGAGGTTTACAGATTCAAGCAGATTGAGTCCAGATTCTAGCCTGACAGGCTTCAGAAACACCTTTTTTTTGTTTTTTCCAGAAACACCAGAATTTGCATTTTCCCTTTCAGGCCAAATTTCATGATATGGCTCAAAATTAAACAGGAGAGGCAAACCGCAGGTTTTGGTCCATGTTTCCACTTACCAGGGCAAGCCAGTTTGGCACCGGTTTTTTGAGCCACAGCCATATTAGTTTTTCCAGAGAGTCTCAGCCCATCCAAGTTGCAGGGCGCAGAAGCCAGCCATGTCGGAGATGGCCTGTCCCAAAAATCCGGTGCGCGAGGCGTGCGAGGCGTGCACTGCGTTTTTTTGTTTTATTCTTCCGTTTTGTTTTTTCCCTTTCGGTGACTGGAAACCCCCATTGAGGGCGCCCAAGAGGATTTCCCACTGTTGTCAGTGGACGACACGTGGATCTGTCGTTTTTTTTTCTTGGGAGGGGGGGGGCGACGGATTGGCTGGTAGGAGGAAAATGACTCAGAAAAGACAGACCACTCTAAGGGTCCGATCCGACTGTTTTTGGGCCCTCCAAATGGGTTGTTTTTGAGGGCCCGTGAGGAATTGGTCGGGGTTCTCCATTGGGGGGTCCGGGGGTCTGCATTGGAGGGGTCCTGACCCTAGGGGACAGTATTTTGTTTCTCAAGTGCAGGATGTGTTTCCCATGCCACGCAGTTGGATTCTCCCCACCTCCTGAGAGAAAGGGAATGGGAGAGAAGGGAGCGGGAGGTTGGGAGAGAGAGAGAGAGAAAGAGAGAAAGAGAGAGAGAGAGAGACAGAGACGGAGAGAGAGAGAGAGAGAGAGAGAGGGAGAGAGAGAGACAGAGAGTTCGTTACAACCGGTTTCTGTCACACGCCCAGCCCAAACGTATACTGCGCGGTACGGCTGTGTCTGGCAGATGTTCGGTTTGCTCAGATCAAATCGAGGGCCGCAGAAATTATTGATGTGATCTTGGTTTCCCCAGACAGCAAGTCAAAAGGGGCTCCAAGTTGGACACCCTAAACGGGCTTGCGGCTTGCCTTTTTGAAGGTACCCTTTTGCGGTTGCGGACACCAAGAAAACACACACCTGGATGGATCCATGCATGTGCAGACAGGTGTCATTGGAGAAGCGCCCGGCCGGCTTGACGCTCTGCGAGGGCCCGGCTGCTGGGCATTTCGATGCTTGGAACGCATCGGTGTGGTCATCCAAATCTGCCGATCTTAGGGCGAGCTCACCTGGAGGAAAAACAGCTTACCGTGATGAAGGCTCTTTGCTTGGAGATTTGCAAAAACGGTGTGTCTTTTTGAGGATACCCTTGTTTTCGTCATTTTTCTTTGAAGGAAACAACAAGGGGACCATGTATTTTTACAGGGTTCCCTTAAACAATGCACACCCATATTTTGGATTTTGGAATCGGTGCAGACAAATGCAGAACACTAGGGACTCCTTTGCTGGATGTAAGTGGTTGACTTGGGTCACATTCCACTTGCAGGTTTAACTTCAGGGTCCCTGAAGATCACTACAAGGTGGTTTGTGGGTAATATTCTAGCTTGCCAACTGATTAACTTTGTATCGCCCCCTCAAACAAGCGCAACATGTTGGGCACCCCTAAAGAATGCTTGGTTTCCTTTTCAGGGCATAAATCACTTGTAGGTAGCAGGGGCAACATGACATCGTTGTAAACCTTCCTGGGCCCCACCCCTCCAACCCCCCGCCATATTCCTGGGCCCAGGTCCAACGCTAGGTTCCCCAGCAGTGCTTTTTCTCGCCCTTTTTTGGGGGAGGGTTCCCCTACTAGACTACAGAAACAAGTTGGTACCAACTTATTCTAACCTCTCTACTGGAGGACCTAGAATGTGCCCCTAAAGGTAGACATGTGTTGGGGACCCCTAAAGAACTAACCAAGCACTTGTACAGGTAGAATGGGCTTCCGCCCCCCAACCCCCCCAACCCCCCAAACCCCCCCAACCCCCTAACCCAACCAACCCAACCCCCCCAACCCAACCCCCCCAACCCCCCCAACCCAACCCCCCCAACCACCCCGGACCCCCTTGGGCCCAGATCCAGCGGGCCCATCCAATTTGCGCCTTAGGACTTGGCGCAGCTGAAAGCCACGCTGGACGCGCGGCGGGGGCCTGCGAGCTACAGCCAGCTGCAGGAGGGGCTGTCGTCGGTTCCAACCCGAGAAATGGCAAGGGCGTCCTTTTGGTCTCCCACGTGAAAGCCAAGCAAAACGTTGGTACCCTCGACATGGCACTTCCTTTTCTTGGTGGCTCCCAGCCATCCGGTTCCTTAGCTTCTTAGCCTTTTAGTGTGGTAGTGTCCATTTAACCCGCTAAGAGTTAGTCACTTTTAGCGGGGGATCTCAGGACAGCCTAGTTTTGGTTTCCAACGTTAAAGCCAAGCAAAATGGGTACCCTCAAAAATGGTTAATGGTTTCCTATGGATGGGATGAAGTGGGGAATGAATTAGTACCAGCTACCCTGTTGTGGGCATCATGGACGTGGGTTGTTTTTGTTGAGTCGTCGTGAATGTCAGAGGAAGCCAGAAGCTGTGTACTTCTGGACTCCCAAGTCTAAGGGCTGGATTCATTGGAAAGGATTGTGTACGAGTTTAAATCAGGTACCCTTGGTGGACATCATATATATATATACATATATATATATATATATATCTAGGAGTATATCGATATAATTGGGATGGTACGTGTTTTGGTTTCAATGCCCCCGAGACCCACTTCAGCGGAGCCTTCAGGAACTTGGAAGATTTGTCCGTGCACCTTTGTCAATCTGTGCGTTTTCTTCGCGCTTTTCCTTCGCCAGTGTCCGAGTGTCGGGAACCCCCGCCGAGTGGTCTCAAAGGGGCAATTTTGTCGTTGTTACTTAAGTTGGACATCAGCCCTTCCAGGTGAAAGCCACATGGATTTTGGCAAACATGTTTGGCAATACAGGTTTTCTTCCAGTTCGCCGTTCTTGGGGTTCTCAGAAGGGGAATGAGGAAATGAACCCCTACCCCTGCAATATGCCGAAACTAGGGCTTGATCTTGGTTTAGGCAATGGTCAGCCAACCAGCTTAGGGGTGCGTTTGCATGTCGAGTCCGAGGAAAGGAGTCGGGGGAAAGCAGGTAAACGGCTGCAACAAACCCAACCGCTGTAAGCGGGGCAAAGCCGGGGATTTTGTGGGTTGGCGGGCTCCCAGCCATCCCATCAAGTTTTTTTATGTGTTTTTTTTGGGTCTGGGGATTGCCCTTTCACCCACTAAAGCTAAGCTTTTAGGAATGAGGACGGCCCTGGTTGCTTTGCTGTTTGGGCGAAATATCGGGTAGATAGCCCTCTCCGGATTTCGCCAGAAAGCCCAAGAAATTATGCTGATTTTTATCCTTGTCTTCGCCCCTATGCACCCAGCAAATCCACTGACCGTTTCACGTGTGGAAGCCTGGGTGTGGACTGCTTCTCAATTTCTCCCGGCCTCGAACTGGTCAAAGGGCGGAGAAGCAGCTACACAAAAGAAATCTGGTGGGAAGTGGGTTGGTTGGTTCCCACACTTGCGTGCCGAAGTCATTGTGAAGGAAGTGGTTTCACTAAGGAATAATCTACAGCACGA